CGTGATGATACTCTACCGAAAACGTTAATTCAGTATGGCACTTTGTCATTTCACGTTGATGCGGACATCATGGCGACCCATTCTGTTCCCTACGAATCAAACCTCCCGTTCCCTTCTGTGCGTGGCACGAATGAAATTCATCGTCAAGGAATGCGACTGGATTTATTTGTCCGCAGTAGCTTTGATATCCCCAGCAGGCAAAAGAGTATCGTGCATAAATTTCGTCTTAAACCGATCTTCTATTAATCATGCTACATTTGCCGCTATACATTTTGCCAGCACAGCTTAATCATTCTACATCTTAATGCTAGCGCGCGTATTTTTGTTTAAGTAGGATATAGAAAATTATTAATATATTTGTTGGGTTTTGAGAAAAATATGATTATTTTTCATCAGAATAGCTTTTAAATGATATAAATTTTTTGTATGTGTGAGATATTTATACAATTATATTAATATCAATGTGGTGAAGTAAATTAAATTTAGATTAATTTTAATGTTTTTAAAAACAATACGCGTAATGACAAGATATTTTCTTCCAGACTCTTTCTCCAGAATTTAATTTTTATCTTTACACTCGCAGCAAACCTACTTATATTTTATTAATGCAAGAAAAATCTTGCTAAGAAAGAAACATTGAAAAGACTTTATATTTTTAATCAAGCGATTGTACAAATTACAAAATCAATTTTTGTGTGTTTAAAATACCGTAATGCATTGAAAATATAGAATAAAATTTTTTAAATATTGCGTATATATTATATCACATTAATAATTTAGTTATAAATAATCAAAATATATACATCAGTATATTATTATTAAAATATCCAGATAGCATCTCAGATATATGATAAAATGACAAGATTTCCCACTATATGATGCACTCTACAGAAACACATAAGCGAAATCCCGATTAAACTTATACCTTCAATAAGATATGAATCAAACACCAAAGAAAAAAAGCAAACGACACGATTAAAGTTACATAACATTCCAGTACTTTCGCTAAACGTTGATTGATGAACGCGGAAGAAGTACACGAAGATCGAAACACGAATGTAAACGGATTAATCAAACGGAATCGAACCATCTATTTGTCGCAAAAGAAGAGATTGTTCTTAACAAGAAACAGTAATGATCATGGTATAAACAAGAGTATTTCATGCAATTGCTACATCGTTATAATATTTTCTCGCGTTTTTACATGTCTCCAAATTGTATAATTTACCATAAATCTAACAATATTTTGCAAACATAATTAAAATATTATTTTAATAATATTTTAATCATATATCTTTGATAGCTTAAAGTAATATTTTATAATTACACGACTACATTTTATACGCGCAAAATATGTAACATAAAAAATATGTATTATTAATAATGTATTATTAATGACCATGTATTTTATTCAACGGTGATGAATGCCTTTCTCTCCGTTGAAAACTTATAATTTAAGGCAGAAATGAAAAATGTGAGAGTCGCGATGAAAAAAAGAATTTTTTTCCGCTATAATATTTTAATCATGAAAATTGCATAATTAAACTAACGCATTAATTAAAGCCAGACGTACTTTCTATAGAAATCGTTCCTCAAATGCTATCGCGCGAGTCCGCTCGATATTTTAAATATAATAATTAGTTAAAAGTGTGTGCGTTTAAATCTGATTCTACATTAGATTTGTGAAATATTTGGTTAATTACTGAGATGAGAGCTTTGTTGTTTCTCTTTTACAGCTTATCCTTACAAAGATTCAATGAATTTCACTCGCAAGATAATTCGATTCAGAAACTTTGCAAGTTTCTATCTCGATTTCACACCCGATCAAGCCAACTGCCAGTTTACGGCGCTTTTAGGGCTTTCATGAAAGGCCAAACCTATTCCATATATCAAACATAAAGATAGCAAGACTGTGCATAAAGTTCATTTACAGATTAGAAATTTTTACTATAACAATGTTTTAAGAGGGCGAGATTTTTTAAATATTACATAAAACATTATATACATTATATTACAACATAAAATACCCAATATTGAATTTCAAATTAAATTATGAAATTATGGAATTTTTACCCCGCAATCTCGTTTGTTCAGATATAATATACGGATGTATCTTCGTGCGACGGGAAACATTTTACAAGACACGAAAAAAAATTGCAGACTAATTTTAATCACTTCTCAATCATAATTAAAAACTTCAACCACGCAAAAGCAAAATCCCTGCGAAACAATAAGCATAAAAATTTAAACTGAGCAAAAAAATGAGAGTACACGATTATCTGTAAAATACGTCATCTGATTACATCGCGCACGATATGATTAGACACGCAACATGTATAATTTCGAAGCAAATTTCTGAAGTATTCATTAAAGATTCATATAAAATTTCCTGAAGGTTGCTAAGGACGTGTTTCTCATATGAACGAAAGTTTATTCTGAATTTTTATTGTACTAGTCTTACAGTTAATAATATAGGTACGATTATTAATATATCATATATTATTATATTAAATTTATAAAGAGCGTCTGAAATTGCTAAATTTAAGCTGATCTCAGTTTTTTCATATTTTGATCTTTATCACAACAGCAAAATCTGTTCACATATTCTGAATTTGTTTCGATATCAAATACTATCATCACATTGACGCTTGTATATCATGTAAATGCACGTATATATTTATATCTTTGAATCTCATCTAACTTGTCTATTTTCCAATCTCACGACTTGTAGATTTTATGACTCAATCACTAGGTTTACATAGAATGATTTATCAACGTTTATGAAAATAGGTTTTCGTAACTATATTAAATGCATTACATTGTCCTATGCAAACGTCTATGAATTTTGAAAGAACACCAATATCCATCACGTAAAATTGAGTTATATTTTAACAGACAGTAATGCTTCAAAATAATTCGTGTAGTCATTAAGGAATCATTAATCTTGTCTTTCTTTTACGCATATAACAATAAACATCGTTGTTAGAACAGATACTGCATGTGAATATGTTGATGTTATTAACTCAACGGAACAATAAAGACGATAATAAAATAATCCGTTCAAAAATAAACGAATCATCAAGTCGAGAACGAAATGAATATATTAGAATTTGGCAAAATATCATTATTATCAAGTAATTATTATAGCAAATAGAACAATTTTTAATAAAACTAAGAACAAAAGAGCTTTGAATTTTTAATCTCGACTAAAAGGAATAGTTTTAAAAAGATATCTATGAAATGCGCAAATTAATGACCGACGAATTTAATTACTTACGTAATTTAATCTTTTTTCTCCGATTTGAGATTTGATTTAAAAAGCACATTGAACATGTGTTTTGCGAGAAATGCAGATTTAATTAGGACACATAACGCAATCGAAATGAATTATGCAAAGATACCTGTCACATCCCGTCGAGAACGATTCGACATCATTTTGTCAAATCGTCGAAATCGAACGACGTAACTTATACAATATTGCGTAACGTTGGAAATTCTACCTGCGCATTTCGCAAGGTTAGACACACTTTAGCCTTTTCAACCTCGGCAACAATAACGCGGGGGCATTTCCGCAATAAAGAAAACTTCCAGCGTGCCGTCTAAAATAAGCACACGTGTTGTGGTTTTCTTTCGGAAACTGGAGCAATTTATGGGGCGTCCGAAAATCGGTGCAATATTCGACCTAACCGCATACCTCGTTGACATCTGGCTTTTTTTCCTCTATGGAACATAGCCCACATACGTACGTTCCTAGTGCGCTTCTGTGCGCACCAGACTTTCTCTGACTTTGCGTCACGTATTTTTAAATGAAACGAAAATTTATGCCTCGCAATATATCCACACAAGTTCGTAGATAGCATGTGGCGGCATGGAACCGACGAAAAAAGCAAAAAAAAAGCTACCGTGCACGCGTATGCGTGTATGTGCAAAATCTTTTTGCGCTATAATATAACTTTATCAGTTTTAATAAAATCTGACAACCATATGACGCATCGTCAGTCGAAGCGGTGTCGCTGCAAAGAGCAGCGGAAAGCATCGCGAATTTTTCAGGATTTTTCCACATTCGATATACATATTTGTGGGAGCTATATTTACATTCACTCGCGATATCGCTAATATTTCGGCGGTTGGATCAATATTATTTCCTATCAAAAATAATATTCAAATGAAGATAAAGAGTAGAGGGAACGATGCGAAAATTTTACGAGAGTGACATATCGTGTGATTAAATAATCCGCATAATTCAACGTATTATTTAAGATATATATGACAGATAATTTGAGAGACAACGTTAGTAAATTACTGTACGAGATGTGTGGCATAAAAGGAGAGATTAATTTTTTAACTTTAAAACTAGTAATATATAGGAGAAATGCGACCGTGTATCATGACAATGCATCTGCTCATTCGGCGTTTTCATAAATTTGTAGCTAAAAAACGCGTTCTTTCGCGCAGTTCTCTTATTTTCCAAGCTTATGTGACTATTCTATACCGATTAAAGTTGCGACTTTCAAAGACTACATATCATTTTAAGAATGTTTTAAACGTTTACAAAATTGTAACATAATAAAACTGATAAAAATGCAAATAATATCCTGTCATAAAGCGTGTTGATACAAGTGCATTACTTCCAGATGACAGATTTTACATTTTATTGACAAATATTATTTTAAAAACAAGGGTGTAATGATTTTTAAGTTAATTAAAGCAATAAATGATCCCTTGATCTTCATTAATTTTATATATTACATTTTATGTCCCAATTAACTTCTAAATTATTTTTAATAAAACTAATTTTAATTAATGAATACAATATTATATTCTTAATGTGATATTTCTATTTTTCTTAATATTATATTATCTTCTTAAAGAGGAATCAAGCAAGACTAAAGAAAATATGTTTCAAGCAAATAAAAAGCGCAAATTTTTTTATCAAGAGAGAAAGATATAAAAATTTATATCATATTGCATTTTTTTTGTTCATGCATTAGATTACTTACCAATCCTGCAACTGTCCAGAATTTACAGCATCGTCAGCAGCTCGGCATCGTGACGTCAACTGCAATGGATTTCCGATGATGAAATAAACTGTAACAGCAAGCATTTTTTTTTTAATTAAATAATAAAACCAATACTTGATTTTATTATTAATTGTTTTGTAATCTCTTTTGTTATCTCTACGAATAATTTTCAATTTCTATGACTCTAAAATTACTCAACAGTTTTATGAAGGAAAAATTTATTTGAAACAAATCGAAATTGGTAATATTTCCAAAAGGTTAGAGATTAGAAATTAGGGATAGAGATTTTTAATCTCCCTTCTTTTCCTGCCAAGATAACATTATCTTTATGACAAATTTTTACTACATTTAAAAATTGTACGATTTGTAATTAATAATACACAGTAAAATATTGATTTAAAACTTGAGATGCAGTACATCCAAATCTATTATTAAAATATAACATCTCCTTACCCATCATCCAATGGTCCTTTTTATGAATCAAACGGCCATGGGAGAAATTCTTGTTTCTAGCCGACGCAAACAGGATACGAACAACAAACTGCAAAACTGTTACAGGAAAATATTAACGCTAGCGACACGCGAACAATCAAATCGAACTACTAGTCGAAATGAGAGCGAGACAACGTTGCTTGCGGGGAGGAAAAAAAAAAGAGATCGATTCGACAACCGGTCAACCTCCCGATCCTGCCAGGTGGCAGCACCTCGCCGCGATTTCTCCCGTCAGTGGCAACGTCGATATGGCCGCATTTTTTTTTTTTTTTACCTTTTTCTCCTTTTTTTTTTCCGTTCACGTTGCTGGCAGATTAGGCTAATGCGATGGACCAGATGAGATATGGGCCAGCGAATGGGAGTACAGTACTCGCATGGCAGGGGCGTGACTGTACCCTGGAAACGGTCGTGTTCGGGGCCGCAATCGCGACGTAAACTAAGTGCTGGGTGGAGCCCCGTCTAGGCACTACCTACTCGATGGAACCATCATACTCTACCTCGAATGTCACGGGGGTAGTCTAATGGTTGCCGGTCTCCTTGAAAAGGCGCCAGTTTTGAATCGCGATCCAAATGAACAACATAACGATTGCATAGTTTGATTGTGGCTTTGTTCGACGACTGTCCATGTGCATCATATCGCTATGCCGTTCAACCCTTGACAACTGACTCCGACGTGATCCGATTTTGATTTGTTGGTAGAAAAGCATTTTTGTATTTTGTATATTTCTGTTTCATTTATTTATTTATTTATTCTTCTTTAAATTTCCTCCGATATTTTTGATGAGGCAAAAATGCAGTGTGCCTGTTATTATAACAGAAATGTTTTAGTGGTACCAGAACTGGTTTGTATCTTCACAACTTTGAATCGTCATCCATTTAAGCAATAGGTCACAATGGCATGTAGTGATATTAGAGCGTCATCATTCACGTTGATTTATTTGTATAATACGATATGTGACGAAAGGACGTCCAACAACGTTTCGTTCAACAACAAGTCATAACGATTCTGTTGAAATCCACGATAATATTTAACAGATAACGTCTACTGAATCTGAAACAAGAAAACACATTTTTTTATTATTTTATTCGAAATTTAATAAAGTCATTCTAATCATTTTTAAAAAAATAATCAAGAAAATTTTAATAAAAGTACAGATATGGAATAGAATCTCTCACGCATTAATCATTGCAAAAAACAATTAAAACGACGCAAATATGTGTGCGTAATAAACAACTTTGCGATAGTATTGATGTAACGTGAGATGGGAGAAAAAGAGCATCGGCAAAATCCTCTCAATTTATATTCGCGATACTACTCACGTCACGCCTGATTCTTCGCGAAGGTTTATTGAATCCACGAGATCGCGATATTTTTAACGGGGAACAATGAGAGGCGAATGTATTTGCGCCAATCTCGCGTACAATGCATCCCAATGACCCAGGGTGAGAAAGATTTTAAAAAAACGCCCGTCCGTCGAACAAACACTTTTCAGTCTATCAGCCCCCGCGCGGCAGTTTTTCATGTCCCGTTTACTCGCTCCGACCCCTTGCTCATTCCCACGCCATTCGTCTGTCTACCGATATTCGTCGGTAGGGCCATATCTCCCGGCTACTTTTCAATTTCATTCGACGAGCATCTCCGCTCCACCCTCGCCGCCCGTGTCGTCCAATTCTGAACGACATAAATCCGATAAGTTTTTATTATTTAGCATATCTGCGTAGAAGCACGGTGTATGTACAGTAGGAGCACGATGTCGTCACCTAGAATCCCGTTGAGAGGCTGCTTGGTACGAGAGCGAGACAATGACTGTTAAGGGAAGAAGAAAGAGGGAGGGAGATAGAGAGAGAAAGAGACGAGGGATGGAAGGGGACCGAAGAGAGTGGCGCAGCGGCGAAATTTCTGTCGCGAGGCTACGCGTAGCACGGTTGGCGGTCTCCCGGGGGATGCCCCGTTGATGTCATCGGGACATCCGGCTAATTGCGAGGATGTTTTGTTAGTTTCTCAGAGTACGCGAGTCTCTCCCCTTACAAGGTTTTGCATTTAGCCTTTCTATATCGGCGACGTATATCCGGACCCGAACTTCCTAAAGCACGTAGAAAGTGTGCCCTCGCTCGAAATAAATTCGCATTAACGCCTTGACAAATGTCAAGTCGTATCTCATTACCGTAGTGTATAAAAAATAGTGATAAAAGATTTTAAAAATATAAATATAAATTTGATTGGATTTTTCTGCGTAAGTACCGATATCAGAAGATATTTTCCAACATTTTTTCTGGATTGGAGCTGATTTGATATGCAAAAATTTGCTCCATCAAGTGTAAAGTAGTGATACTAATATTAATTAATTCACAATTATATATTAATTCTATATATTATAATTTATATATATATAATATATATATATATATATATATATTAATTATATATATTAATAATATATATTAATTCACAATTATATATTACTATATTGTGCATGTCATTTAAGGGAGTGTATATCGAGTATTTAATTATAATACTATCGCAAGCATTACTTGATCAAAATAAATCAGTAGATTAAATCAATTACAAAGTTACCCTCGCACATTTCAGTAGATGCACGCATTAATTGACATACCAGAGATCATACGCTGTGATGTTTTAGACGCAAACATTGATTGCGAAAGAGATGCCGGCTTCGCTTGGCGGTTTACAGAGCGGTAACAGTGTTCGGGGATAGTGAGCGTATCCCAGGGAGGGAAGAAAGGAGAGGGGGTAGCGATATTATTGATTTATGTCCCGTTATACGTTATATATCCAACGGTCTTCTCCGCAGCATGCAATGATCCACCCCAAGTACACACAATACTTGCACAATGTTTACACCTGAAACTGAACCATGTAATAAACTTTCCCCCAAAATTATTACAGAAACCAGGTGTATATTTTTGTACATTTCTTATTTATGATTCTTTTGTAGAATCTTGGTATACGTATACATATATATATGATATACAAGAACCGAAAAAATAAAATTATAAAATTTTATAAAATTTTATAAAATTTTATAATTTTATCTTTATTATAAAACTTTATTAATTATTAACGTTATATAAAGTGCACAGTGAGTAATTTAAACAATCCGTGCAAATAAAAATAATAGAGAGATCTTTAAATCTATAAATTAAATTCCAAATCTGTTTCACAGAGCCTTGTGACACGCGAGCGTTTAAACCTGCGTAAACTCCTGATAATTGTCTACGTTATCGGACATCTTCATCGAAGCCGATCATCGCCAACGGGAAGCGAACACCAGCGGAAACAGCCAGCCGGGATGAGCGAGCGCGTCTATCGCGTACGCGCGCATTTCCAGGGAAGTAGGCGTTTGCGTTATCAATTATCTTCGATTTATGATTTACATCGCACACGTAGCAGCGTGTTATACGATTATTGTGCCGAATGATACGCGGCGGAAATTAGGCGGGAATAAGCCAGACGGGGGGAAAAGAGAAAGAGACAGTGAATGAGAGAGAGAGAGAGAGAGAGAGAGAAAGAGAGAGACAGGGAGGAACGAGGAGACAAAATCGTAGAAGGTGGCGATAGACAGCAAGGGGAGAGGGGACGCGGGAGGGGGGCCAGCGAGAGGGAAGCGCCGAAAATTGATGCATTCTCTATGCAAAATAGCAGAAGCACACGAAGCTAATAGTAGCTGGGCAGCACGCAACCAGAATTCCTCTATGGTAACCGCTTACCATTCTCTCTCTCTCTCTCTCTTTCTCTCTCTCTCCCCTTCCTCCCCCCCACCATCGTGTCAAGCTTCTACCTACATCACCACCTCCGTCACCTACGTCCTGGACAGAATCGAGAGCGGCATAGAAGCCGTTAACACTCTATTAACACTAACGACGCTCATACATAACAACGGTGCGCGCTGCGGGGATAGAATTTATGGTCTATTAATGGGGAAGAGGGGACGGTGGGGAGGGGGCGGGGAGGGTGGGGTTACTTTATGCGTTATGTAGTTGTAGTCGTCATGCCGACAGGTAGTATGACGTAAATTTTACGAGAGCCCCGCGCACGAGGAGCGTCCCGTGCGATAAGTTACACACTCGCGAGACCCGTTATTAATGTGTTTACACTAGATATTCGTCGGATTCGGCCGGCGCCACTTTTCCTCCGTTAATCGCCGAGGAAACGATTCCCACCCCCGCGCGCCCCGATGGACCGAGTAAATTAAAATCGGAGGATTAAGCGCGGAATATACACAAGAGTATATTATAATGAAGCGTGCGTGAGGCAGGCGTGCAACAAACATATAAAGACATAAATTTAGATCGTAGACGTAGGGTTAGCGGACTCTACAGACTGGAGGTCTGCGCGGGGTCTTTTATCTCCCCCTTCTATCTTACCGTCCTTCTAAATCTGCGCAATTGCATATTGATTCACACGCGGCTCAAAAGTTTATTAATCGGATATTATCTTTTTTTTTTATGAACTGCAATATTGCTTGCAAAAAAAAAAGCTAATTTTTTTTTTTTTCGTTAAGATTTCATATAATTTAATCAGTTTAATATTCTTCGGCAAGTGTGCGATAATAAATCGTGTTTTTTTCTCCAAATATTTTTCATCATAAAAGAATTATTAATTTATTCAATAAAATCCCAATGTATCCGTGTGTTGAATATTATTATTCAATATCGTACCGCTTAAAAATTTGTAATAAAAAAATTTTATTATGTAAGCGATTTTCAGATCATAATACGTTTATTTTTCCCCAGATTTTGAACGCACTTGCGAGGCAGCATCGCGCTAAATTTGAAAAGAAACGGAGGGAGAAAGAGAGAAGGAAAGAGAAAGAAAGAAAGAAAGAGAGAGAGAGAAAACAGGTGTACTTGTAATCTCTCGCGAAATGCGAGTAAACAAGAAAGTTAACGGGCTCACCGTTCGTCGAGTGCAGCGTAGTCGAGTGCCAAAGTTCATCGTGAGATCCTGCCCTCCTCACGGCTAAAGGAGACGCGGCAAGGCCGGTAAAGTGATAAAGCGGCCATAAATTCTAACCGCCATCCTCCCACCGGCTCCTCTATCTTGCCGGGTCTCTCTCTACTCCTCCGACTCCTCGCTCGCCTCCTCCCCCTCGCGTCCTCGCCCCCACGGCGCGCTTCGTCCTGCGCCTATACGGACCCTCTCCTCCTCGCCTCGCAACAAACTCGTGGATGCACCTGCAACAACCGAATTGGCAAAGGTCACCGTGTATATATCTCGTCGCTTTAAACCGCACATACACTGCTAGCCGTTACTCACCCCGACGATGAATTCTTCTCGTCTCGCGTGACCTGGATTCCGTTACCCAGTTCCGGAAATGCGATAACATTACGAGACTTCCGCCGATTATACTCACCTTGCGTCTCTTGGCGGACGCGATACATATTGGCGTCAATTGGGGCGAACGGCTATAGATGGATTAATCCGATCGATCGACTCCGTACTTGGCGGGAGTAACGGTACAACATAAATTAGTGTAAAAAAATATATTTTGACACTGCAATGTCAATTATGTCGCGTCAGCAAAGTGCGTATAAGTGGATTAGACGTGTTACGCATAGTTAATAAGGAACATCCCCAAGTATATTTCAAAAGATTGTCCTTCATCCTTTCATTTCCTGTCGATTGTTTACAAGGTGGCCGATCATTCAGACTATTTTATTCTCTAATGTCGATCGAAATTCATCGCGCTTATGAAAACATGATGCGATGCAATTTCAGTTCAACAGGTGCTTCGCAAATTTCCGCCTGGAGCTTTGGAGGGCGAACGGAAGGACGCTTAAAAAAATATGAAAAGGACCACGATCTTCCCGAAAATTGAATCCGGCGTTGACACTCGAGGCACGCCGGACTCGCACGTGGACAGGACAGGCGCCCGCGGGGAAATGAAGACGTCCGTCGTGGAGGGACGGTTGCAGCTGCATCTCGAGACGTCGAAATCCAATATCGCAAATCCGAGCATACCTACCTACGGTCTAGATAGCGAGCTAGGCACGCGGCGTTCGTTGCAGCGCAAGGGGGCGAACAGACAG